CCCCCCCCCCCCCCCCAGTTTCAGGTCCCTTATTATTTGTTTAGTGTATATTTTTCTGGGGTCGTTGTTACCCTGTTAGCATTTTGTCTTTTATTCATCTATTCTCTGGACAAAATTACAAAATGGAAAAACTCAACTCAAAAAAAAAAAGAATAAGAGGCAGTACCAATTGCCAGGGACCTAATCAATAGGGACATTAGTAAGATGTTGGAACTAGAGCTCAGAATGATGATTTTAAGATATTGACTGGGCTCGAAAAAAGCATGGAAGATATTAGAGAAACCCTTTCTGGAGAAATAAAAGAACTAAAATCTAACCAAGTCAAAATCAAAAAGGCTATTAATGAGGTGCAATAAAAAATGGAGGCTCTTAACTGCTAGGATAAATGAGGCAGAAGAGAGAATTAGTGATATAGAAGACCAAATGATGGAAAATAAAGAAGCTGAGAAAAAGAGAGATAAACAACTACTGGATCACAAGGGCAGAATTTGAGATATAAGCGATACCATAAGACGAAACAACATTAGAATACTTGGGATCCCAGAAGAAGAAGAAAGAGAGAGAGGGACAGAAAGTATATTGGAGCAAATTATAGCAGAGAACTTCCCTAATTTGGGGAAGGAAACAGGCATCAAAATCCAGGAGGCACAGAGAACCCCTCTCAAAATCAATAAAAATAGGTCAACACCCTGACATCTAATAGTAAATCTTTCGAGTCTCAGAGACAAATAGAAAATCCTGAAAGCAGCTTGGGACAAGAGACCTGTAACCTACAATGGTAGAAACATTAGGTTGGCAACAGACCTATCCACAGAGACCTGGCAGGCCAGAAAGAACTGGCATGATAAATCAGAGCACTAAATGAGAAAAATATGCAGCCAAGAATACTATATCCAGCTGGGCTGTCACTGAAAATAGAAGGGTAGATAAAAAACTTCCAGGACAAACAAAAACTAAAGGAATTTGAAAACACGAAACCAGCCCTACAAGAAATATTGAAAGGAGTCCCCTAAGCAAAAAGAGAGCCTAAAAGTAACAGACAAGAAAGGAACACAGATAATATACAGTAACAGTAACCTTACTGGCAAAACAATGGCACTAAATTCATATCTTTCAATAGTTACCCTGAATGTAAATGGGCTAAATGTCCCAATCAAAAGACACAGGCTATCAGATTGGATAAAAAAACAAGACCCATCATATGCTGTCTGCAAGAGACTCATTTTAGACACAAAGACACCCACAGGTTGAAAGTGAGGGGATGGAAAACCATTTACCATGTTAATGGACATCAAAAGAAAGCTGGAGTGGCAATTTTTTTGTCAGACAAATTAGATTTTAAACCAAAGACTATAATAAGAGATGAGGAAGGACACTATATCATACTTAAAGGGTCTATCCAACAAGAAGATCTAATAATTGTAAATATCTATGCCCCTAACATGGGAGCAGCCAATTATATAAGCCAATTAATAACAAAAGAAAGAAACACATCGAGAACAATACAATAGTAGTGGGGGACTTTAACACCCCCCTCACTGAAATGGACAGATCATCTAAGCAAAAGATCAACAAGGAAATAAAGACTTTAAATGATGAAAAGAATTATTCACCATGACCAAGTGGGATTTATCCCTGGGCTGCAAGGCTGGTTCAACATATGCAAATCAATCAATGTGATACAATACATTAATAAAAGAAAGAACAAGAACCATATG